CCCTCGTACCTCGGGCTGGTGCTTTTATTTTGGAATTTTTCATTTCCGATAAACCCCCGGGGAAATGAGCAAAGAGCACAAGATAATGTTTTTCTCTTCCCTTTTTCCTTCAACTTTCTGTTCCCCATCTTTGGGCGTCTCACTCGACTGGTTTTTTACCACTTCTGGTGACGTCCTAGTATTCTCGTGGGTGCTGAGAGTCGTTTGTAAATTGAAAAATCGAGGTGGAATAGAAAACAAGTGAAAAAAAAGGAGATTAAAAAAAATGAATAATGGAAATGATGAGCTCACGAAAATTTCTCTCCTTGTCCCAAGACATTCACGAATGGAATAATATCATTGTATTACGGCTGATAGATAAGAGCGAATATAGTGACATAGAGCTAGGTCGGAAGGAATTCATGAGTGAAGTGACTGAGAGCTCAATTAGCAATCGATTAAAAGTACATTAGAGTCACGTAAAGTTAGCGAGGGGGGACTTGCGAGGAAGAATCGCTACAGAGGGGAACAGGGCCGTCATCCTGGATGCATATTCAATTAGTCCGAAATGGCCTAATTATAACCATGGAAAAATGATAATGATAATGGAAAATTTTGCCACGCTCAGAGAATGAGGAGAGAGAGAAAAAAATGGGAGAAAGGTAAGGGAGAAAAATGAGGGCAATAATTTGTTTATTTTTTTTTTTTCATTTTTGTTCCCAGGGCATTTCAATTTAACGCAGGCAAGTACGAGGGTATGCGATTCCTGTGGATTACTGTGTACCGAGACCACAAGCGTAAGAGATGCCCGTTGGAGAAACGTGCGTGACTAGACTACGCTATTGGTTAAATGCCCGTTGACCGCTCGTGCACACGCTTTGCACATCCCATTCAACTCCCTGTTTCCCTTTTTTTTTTTCGTCGCAAGCATAAAATGCTGTGTTGAACCTTTCCCACGTAAAAAATAATACGGTAAAATACCATTGAGCTTTTCAAAAAATAGACGAGCATTTGTGACTCGGTTATTAGCCGCATTGAAAATTTTTACCGTGAGCTTTTTACATTGAAATAATTAATGTCCTGTGCAAATCGAACATTCTGTGTAATTCCTCAAATTTCCATTAACAGACGCATAAAAAAAAAACAACTTTGCGCATTAAAGTATTATTTAACCCGAATCAGTGTGTTCCCCTGAAAAGGAGAAGAATATTTGAAAATTAATTTACTCACTAGCTTTCAAATTAATAACATTTATGATATGCCGTATAGAGTCTGTGAAAAATTGGATATATATTTTTTTTGGCGAGGCTACTGGAAAGTGGAGGGAGAAAGCAGTAAAATCCGGTAATTCTCTCACGACAAGGAAAAGGGCTTTGGTATAACATGGAGTTTCATTCACAAGGCAGGGAAGATGACGCATAAATGCAAAATAGACGAGTGTGTCTCTAACGACATGAAGGATATTGGCTCTAGTGTGATGAAGAAGCCAGCCAACGAGCAATACCAAGCTATAGTTTTTTCCCCAGAGTCGCCATATTGGCTTGTTCCCCAGTAGCACCATACAGCTTCAGCTCCTGAGATGCTTCTTGAACGATCTGGGTACACAATCCTTATAGGGTTTTTGTTCTTTGGGTTGCTCTTAGGAGTTAATTTGCCAATTAACTCTGTCAATTCGCTACTCAAAACTCACGAGTTTTCCCGAGAATTCCCATTATTGGTGAATTGTTCAAAAAATTTTTAAAGTGTCGATTTTTCAAAATGTGAAAAAAATTAAAATCACTCCACGAGGGCTAATTCACCCTCATTACGAATCGTCAGTTGGTCCGCTACTCAGAACTCCTCACTTTTTCCGGAATTTTCATTATTCCGCGATTGGAGAATTTTTAAAAAAATTTTTCAAGTGTCAATTTTTCAAAATGTGAAAAAATTAAAAATCACTCCATGAGGGACTCCATTGACGTTAACTCGCCTTCATTAAGGATCTGCGGTACGTGGACTACTTAGAACTACCCCACCTTATATGCTTCCTATAAAGGGGAGGGAAGGGGCTGAGACCGCAGTGGGTAAATTTTTTTCATCCTTCATTTCGCTCGTATGACCAAAGATAACGTGAGCAGCGGCACCGAGAAGGCGGATGTGAGGCCAATATAGAGGATAAAGTCGTGTGGCATCCGGCTAGTACCAGAAGCCAGAGGCGCTATTTACGGTGAAAAGGAGATGAAAAGTACAGTGAGAAACTCAGCAGGAAACCACCGTATTTGCCAGGAATAACGGGCCACCGATTCAATTCTATATTTCCGCGGTGTTTGATACAATTTTGCTGCTTGTTTCACAATCGCCATGTGAATCCAAACTCCCATTGGCACTTGCTCTTCCTCTTACTAGGTGGTTTAAACGCTCAGGGAGAAATGCCATCCGCCTTAGGGACCACCATCACCCTCTATATGTCTCTCTCATTTTCTCTATTGAGTTTTCAAGTTGGTTCAATGGACATTCGATATTGGGGCAAATGGGGGATAGGTATGTGACAAAACATTGGAGGGTCTTTGTGGTATCTACACTCGAGAGGATTCTAACTCCTCTGTAACATTCACGATTTTCATCCACCGATGGATAAATTTACCCTTACCAAAACCGATATTTATCTTTGAGGATAAGGTTGCCGACTTTAACCACTTTAGTCTGATACTTCATCTTCCGATTGTCTTTCCCTCATATTTTTTTCCTCTTTTCATCATTACTCGTTATTATGGCGACGATGAGCATCTTCTCAATGTGTGCACTGTGCTGGCACAATTAAGCGTATCCCGGACTTGAGAAACTTTTATCCGTGTTATATAACCCTTCTCGTAAGGACCGCCTAGTATACACTGTAAATTTTCCTCTATAAATCTTTTGTTCAACGCCCACGGATTATCAAAGTTTCATTGCTCAAGTAAACGACTGTGGGGAAGGGAGATGAAAGTTGTGTGGGCGGATTTTATGGAGACTGCATAGTTGCTCATAATTCGTTGGTGGATGAGAGAAATGAGGGTATCGTTGATATCTTTTTAGTCTTATTTCCCTCTCCATGCGGTATTTTTGGTGTTTAAAAAGTATGGTGAGTGGGTGGAGGGAGGAACAAGAGGTTGTGAGGGTGGGGAAACAAAAGGGAAAAACTCACGGAAGTTTTTGAAAAGCCTTGGAAAAATGACGTTGAATAGGGCTGAAGCGAAAAATTTAATATGCCGGGTACGAAGAGATTCAACTACTGTTCTTTTTTTTTTCGCACCTACTCGGTGAGTTATACACAGACGGAGGAATCTCCTTGAATTCTCAGCTGTGATAGTCACCACCACAGTACTAAATCCATTAATCTTCTCTCGGATATGATACTTGGTGAAAGGGGAGTAAGAGGGATGATTTTCCACGGGGAATAAATTAAATTGTATGATAACATCATCTCGAGGTATGCTTTATGTTAAATTCTTGTCTCTTTTACGCAATTGTTATTTTAATGTATCTCGTAATAGCGACAATCTATTCAAAAACATTATTATTATATATATATATTCTTGTACCTACATTTTGATTCCGAAAAATTTTTTAAATCTCTATTTCTAACACCGAGAAGAAGAAAGTTTCTCCACGAATGTTTCACCCCAAGTGAAATTCAATGCAATTGTCAATTACTTTTCCTCATCTATATTAAATATAATTAAAAGGTATTGAATTTTTTTGCGTGGACATTTTGACGTTTCGAAATAAAATTGAGTATCACATATATTGCCCATCGCGTCTGAATAAGGGACCATTTCCTGAGGTAGTTATTCTCGTTCACCCTCTTACGAGACATCAAGAAGGATATGTGTATTTCCAATCGCCCTTGGTCATCCAACTGAAAGTCTTATGCACGATTTATCTGCACTTTATGTCTCCCTTCTATCGACATGCTCAAGGATTCATTGTGAGGGGTGATATTTTTGACCAGCAGTGCGTTGTCCTTCGGTTGGCCAATTCAGTGGTTGAAGTACAACACTAAAAATACACCCGCTGCTACAGGGGTGGTAAATCCAAGATAGATTTGCCTCGAGGTATATCCACTTTTTTCATCCCCCTCGATCTTCCCCCTCAATGTTATCCAATGTCTTGCACAATCAGATCATTATTTCGCACGCGTACATTTCGTAGGTCAAAAGACGTTACACAACGATCTTCACCACGGAAACAATCAATTTCAGTGAATGACTGGATCAGCACCAAACGATAAATATAGGTCTTTCATGAACATAAAATGCTTCATTTTCCCATAAGCCGCGAGTATCTAGTTCACGTTCTTCGGGTTCATCTAAAGCCCATACTCAATTCACCCTCGATTACACTTTCAATTGACCGCCTCTTCATGCTTTCACAATCTACCGAAAGGTATTACAACTATATACGAGAAAAGAGTTCCAGTAAAGAAAGCGTTCCCCCTCATTACTGAATTTATCATGCCAACACTTTATTATTTTCCACATGTCCTACTCTACATCCTATATTTATACCATCTCCACCATCTCCACCCTCAGTCTGACCCGGTTTCCTTCATTTTGATTTAATTGAAGCGATAACTGCTGGTCAGAAAGAGCCCAGCCCACCGCCATTTACCGCCCACAAAATATAAAAGAGAAGAAAAAAAAAATAGCGCGTTACACAAGTCTACTAAATCATGCGAGGTATATAAAAGTGTGATCTGGACCGAACGTGAAACATTTTTCGGTCAGTTTTATCGACACTGGCTTATTTATTATCCCCTTCGAGTTCACCTGGGCCATAGGGGGAGTAAAATTCTATCGATTGACCAATGGAAATATATGTCGTCATATTTCGCTCAAGTTGTTGAGGCTATTGCTGGGGAAAAAAAAAAGGAATTACTGGCAAGAACAAAAGGCCTCCGGTACACTACAGTCGTTCATGGACGTAATTTTTTTTTTAACACAATAATTGATATCACTCCAGTTACCCCCCGAAACTAAACTCAGATATATTCATTGTTTCAGGTTTGATGTATCGCGATCGACGGACAATATACGGACAGAATAGCAACAGCAGCGAATTGCCGACGTACGAGACATGCGTAACAAGAAACGTAACCACAGCCATTGGACAAACGGCATTTTTACATTGTCGTGTTTATAACCGGGGTGACAAAGAGGTTAGTACCCTATATGCATTGATGTGTACAATTTAATCGTTATATCCCGGATAAACTTGGCGGTGAGCCGGCCATTATCTATAGTTAGGTGCACAGCCACGGTTCACTCCCTCAGGATCAATGACAGTCGATCGAGCGATGAATTCACTCCCTCCACCCCTTCATTCCACTTTCTCTCTTTCTCACTCGACCTTTTCCCCTTCAACTCCCACCCATTTCATTGCATCACCAATTTCTCCTTTTCCTCTATCATCCCAATCGCTCCTCTCACTCCTTCCCACCCTCTCGCTCAATTTCTTTGCCTCTATCTACAGAAATGTCGACTCTATTTCACACCCCCTTTACCGGCATCGGTGCCACCTTTCACCCCAGCCCCACGTCTATTTCTACGCCCCTCCAAGGTAACGATTCCACTTTGATGGGATCCCGATTTCGCTATCCCGACGGCCAACTTATCGTTCCCGATTTCCCATTGCAATGCATTCTGGTCACGCGATTCTCGTATCAACCTCCCGCCCCTCCCCCCTTACCCCCTTTCCACGTGAAACTTGGAGTTTTCACTAGTAGTATAAGTCCAAATAGCACTGACAGACGCAGTGAGTCGAGTCCGTTTTTCTTTCACCCTTTTGTTTTTTTTTTTTTTTTACCAAGGAGTAAGAGTGTACATCCTGCAAGTTATATGTGTATCAGCATTCCGTAGGGAATTCCAAAGTGCATTGCAAAGTGACAAGAGTCTTGTTTCTGAGAGCATAAAAATCTATACCTCTTTGGAGTACATTTCCTGGATTGTCAGGGATATTATCAAGTTTCTATGGAACTTTATTTGCGTACTTGAAGTGGTTGGATGATAGAATAAAGTGAGACTGGAGATGTAAAAAAATCTTCCCAAGGTGCTGATTATTGTCTTGTTATTTGTTAGGGATGAGGCGATGTAGGGGAATTATTAAGCTTCAAGGAATTTCCATGTTTGCCATGTGTGTACACATGGGCGTCGATTAAACTACTCCTGTGCAGGGAATATAATCGATGGTCCCAGTTATTTACCCGTGCCAACCAAATATTTATCCGATTCGAACAAAAATCCAATGATAACTCAGAATTTATAGGCTTGAGGGTAGAAAATTTAAAAAATGCACGAATAAAAATCGAATATTGTGATACGACCAATGCGATTTGAATTTGCGGAAAACTTTTTGTTTTTCTCCCCCAGGCATGATAAATTTCGCTTGAATATTTTTTGTTAACTCTATCATTTAAACAAATCAATTATTTACGAAAGACAACCAGACAATTGACTGCGCAAATATAATAATATTTGGAAATGTATATTCAATAGCGAAATAGTAAACGGAGTTTATTGAATTTTTTTAATCCAGTTAATATTTTAATGAAACATTCGAAATACCACAGATGACTGACAGAAACCACTGAAGCCTGACAATTAATTTAATAACAATTCTGGGTATTGAGGAATTTCGAGCTAAAAATCCAATAATTAATAATCACAAAACGATGTAGTGAATCAATCCCAAATATTATACAGGAATCGCTTCAAAAACATTCTCAAAATTTTAAACAATTTATATATCTCCACCAATAAATGTAAAAAACCTTAACTAACCGTAACCCAACTTAATTAATTTGCCTGTAGCTTTGATGCAGAGTGATTATTTATTTTATCGTTAAATCGACTAATATAGAAGAGGGTTTTGGTGACGGGATTCATCAATATTTGTCGACGTAATTGTTGCATTGAAACGAGATGTACGATGGAGCTGTGGAAATATAGTGAACAATTTAGGTAACGATGGCATGGAGAGAATTCATAAATGAAGGTGGCCGAAAGGATTGGAAGGTTGATAACTAGAAGGGATAGAGGTGAGATGACGAAGAGTGACTATAACTGGTGGGAGAGTAGAAGGCACATTGGGTTTCTAGGGTAACGTGCTGGGGCGAGGTTGTGCTTGTGGTGTCGGTTTAGGTGGCTGATAGAATATGCATGCAGCTTGGTTAAAGAGAATTAAAGTGGGCTCAAAGGGACGTTAAAGGATTCAAGCAAAGCTTGACGCTACTCACGCGCACTCTACCATTCCGAGAAGATTCCTAGCTTTTGAATCTCTATCGCATGCTGCATTCTCTATATATGAAACCTCCTTTATTTTGTTGGGGAATGCTTGGGAATGGCTCGTGAGATAAAGCTGTGTATGAATATCAAGAGAGTGAAAGTTTTTAGAGATTATTCATAAAGATTGGTTGAGTCTGGATGCGAATATAGATGCGATAAAAAAATTAGAGTGAAAAAGGGGAAAGCACAATCACGCGTCAGATTATAATTTTTTTATCAAGGAATTCAATAATGCTGTGATAAATATATGAATTTTACGTAATAACGTCATCAGTGCGAAATGGAGACATTTCATGATGACAAGATTGAAATTTTCAACTTCCGGTAGATTCTTTTTCCAACGAATTCGATATTTTTTTCTGATTAAACCTGAATCAGAGCATATATCTCAATGGATTGTCCAATGGTTCATCGGGATATAAATAATAAATTTTTTTTACTCCCCAATCCTGGATTTTACCGGTGGGAGTTTTACGAGCACCTCTATCCTCTCACGATATCATATCTTTCAACACCACACAGAATCGGCATTCACCTTCTGTTTGTTCTATCGTTTTTTATCGGCAATAGCCAACAGTTTTGGAATATCTTTAAATGGCATACTGACAGATAAAAAACCCTTTGACGATGATGATCATCATTGATCAGCCTTTGGACCAGATATTTGTGACTATTCGACAAATAGAATGTCCTGGATTTAGTGTTGCAATTGGATTTGTAGGGAAGGATTTGGCTCAATGGTCGATTAATGTCATCCAAACGATTGATTCCTACTATTAGTTAGAGGTGAGCTTTGACCCAAAACATTCTACACTATACCTGAATAACGTACTGCAGTTGATTCTGAATGTAATTCTCGAATAACCGCAAATTATCGATCCGACACGGTTGCTCCATGAATGCCTGATCGATTCTTGGGTTATTGTCTTTTCTATTCTCTCTCTCGTCTACACTAATATCCATTCAATTACTTGATTCCCGTCATTCACTGCGAAGTGATTGTTATTCTCCTGACGGCCTCATTAGAGACGAGACAATCCATGGATATTGTAATATTGGTATTTATAAGATAAATTTGTTGAGGAAGTTAACGTTCACTATTCATTTTTGTATAGAGAAATTGGCGATGTACTCCAGACTGGAAATCCACTGGCTATTGTTCAGCTCTCGTAATGCTCAATATTTTTAAAATAAAATTGTACAATTTCAAAAGCTTCTTCAGGCTCATCCGATTTTTCTTCCCCAAAAAAAGTGAAATGAATGAAGAAAAGGGCGATGAGGGAAAAGGGAATGGAATCGAGCAAGAGAAATGGCAAGAGAATTTCCTGGTTCGAGTTGATGTTACAAAACATAACGGCAACCGAAATGCAATAAATAACTGGGGTTAAGGTTTCTTCTTGTGTCTTATCTTCAGCACTAGCGAGTGGTACTCCAGTCACTTTTTTATCTACCGATTTTTCTTATCCCCTTTGTACATTGCAATCGCCAAGCTTTACGAATAGCCATTGACATTCTCAATGATCAGATTTTAAATTGCCAAAGATTTTTCCATTCAATTAATTGTTCTCTCTTTGAGATGGCGTCAGTGCGGGGATCAATACTGAAATTTCAAGTGCCTCTCGTAAAGTCCATGGACCGAATGCTTGAATTTATATACCTGATGCCTACGTTAACGTCCGTGAGTAACGACTCTTGGTCCCTTTTCCCTCTATTCCTCTCCAACGATTTTGAATGAATCAACCTGACAACCTTCAATTCTCTCACCGCTGACGCAGGGTGATTCGAAGGCCATAGCAATATAACTCCGTTATCACCCTGCGGCGATTGAGAAAATATTGATGCACTGTTGGCTGCACAATAAATCTCCTCTGAGGAATTTTTTTCTTTCATTTTATTATCATTGACGCGAATACCTTCAAATTACTTCAGCATTCCAACCGAAAATTGGAATTTTTCAATATCATCGGCTTTGCTCTACAACACAATCATTAATTAAGGATTTTATTATGTACCTAAAAATTTTCCAGCCCACTTGATGTTTTCAATGACCCCATGAATGCTAATTTAGGTAAATCACATGAAATTTTAATATCCTCTCATATCAGCATCGAATTTCATCGTCTAATGGCCGTTTATCTTAAGATTTTTATTTATTTATTTATTATAATAACTATCAATCCGCAATACACAATTTCTTTCTAGAGGATTCAGTTCGTAAGCCAGGCAAACAGAATGTCTATTTCAAGGATTTCAATCTTACTTTTCACTGATTTGCAGCGTGCAAAATCAGCTACCTGGAATCGACGGAACGTCAATAGCTTTCACATCAACTGCTGTCGAATTTTAAATTTCGATTGCAACAATTCATTCTACAGTTGCGATAATCAAATAATTAATAGATTCCCTATTGATGGTATTTCATTAATCAGACGATTTGAAAAAAAAAAATCTTATTTGATTTATTTAAAAACTGGTCCATTGAATTACAGTCGGGGTTTATAATTTAATCCCCCGAAATTCTGTTACTTCTCAAGCTAATATTTATAATATAAGCGAATATTTCAAGACTTTAAGAACTGAAAACGACGTATTTCACAAACTTTTTCACTTTATAAATTCCTTAATTGGCCCTCTTCGTTAGTTTGTCTCAAATAGGCCCTTGAGAATATATTCAGGCCAACCTTCAGTTTTCTTCAACAGCAAATCTTTCTGTTTCATCTTCTCTGACAATTCTCCTTTTCTCACTCCGAAGTTTCTCCCTAACTCCGTGGGGTATTAACTCTTAACCCGGTTTTATCGCGATGAAGATGGTTCACCCAAGTTTTGTGGTATTCATATTTTGAATTACTATAGAGGCGAGCTGTCTCGGTGTTAA